TGTTGTGGCTATGGCCATCATTATTGGAGGTGCACAAATAAAGAAGTCATTCCTTATGAAGAGCATGTAAGGATCATAGAAACATATGAGAATCAACAGGATGGCAATTACGAAGATGTCTTTGATTACCATGTCAAAGATGAAGAAGATATCTTCGTAGAAGAACCAACTTCTAAGGCACAAGAAGATTCAATCCTTATTGATTCTCTCCTTAGTTGTGAAAACTTCTTTGAAAAGGATGTTGAAGAGAAAGCTACACTATGTGATACTCCCTCCGTCCACAAATAAACTTTACGTTCATTATTCACATGGTCAAACTTTATTCATTTTGTTGGCTTATTTTCGTCACCCATTTGATAAAATAATAGTCATGTCACCTCTAGTTTTGTAGATCTTTTGATATAGTTTTTTAATATGTAATTTTTATTCTTCAATTCTACACCATTTTTCATATAAAAGATTTGAAAATAACTTCAGTCAAATATCGTAACGCGTAATGTAAAGTTTATTTGTGGACGGAGGGAGTATATGTTTTAAGGAAGTTGTTTCCTCAGAATATTATCATCTAATTAGTGAAGGAGAATCTCATCCAATCATTGAAGTATATGTGAAGGAGGTTCTACTAAAAGTGATTACTTTTTTTTGGACAGTACAAAAAGAGGTGCCAACTTATTCCGGAAAGAATCTCATTATTGGTGATTTCTTAAATTTCCCATTTAATCCGGGAATTCTTTTATGAAACCCCAATTAGTCACGGTGGTGCGAAAGTTTGAGGACAAACTTTTTTCGAAGAAGGGGAGTATGATGTACCCCTGGATGGCTCCACCAAAACCCCAAACTCTCCCAAAATATCCAAAAGCCTTTAATCTTCATTTGATAATCAAAATAAAGTCTCTTCCCTCCTTTTTAGCCTTGGATGAAAATGAGGACCAAAAAGACAAACCTTGTGTGTTGTTTTCTACTTCTTTTGTTCCTTTCATTAAATAAGACTTTCCCCTTATTTTCCTACACCTTTCCCACCAAATTCCCACCCATTTTCTCCCTAAAATCCAGCCCTAAATCATGAGAAAACAACAACAAAACAAAAGGACAAAATCAGCAAAGAAGTCTTTGATTGAATAGTAACTTCTTGTCCCATTATTCAATTAAAGTCAAGCCACGTTGTTTCCTTTGTCTTGCACCCATATGGCCGAAATATACTACCTAAAACAAGCCAAAGAATGCCTCATCATGGACAAATAATACTCCTTTGATTTACTCCACAAGAGGCCGAAATCCACATCCAAAAAAAGGCCAAACAAATCCCTTTCCTTTGTCCTTAAAGTCAGCACATTTGGATTGTAATAGGTTAGTGTTAATCATGTGGTAGGAAGCTGCATTGAAAGTGTTGTATTTTCCCTATAAATATTTGGCTTCATGGCCATTGTAAAAGACACCAGATTATTGAATTAAAAACCTTGTTTACTCTTTTGAGTAATTCCTTTAAAATAGTGTGATGCTATTTTAACCAAATTTCCTAATGAAATATCTCTAAAGTTGGCTACTTTTGAGTGCGTGTTAGGAGTCTAATTTTATACATTAGTAGTGATTATTAATGTGTAAAAGAAGATAAAAGCCCCAAGTTAAGATAAGAGTGTGTCATATTTCTTAACACCAACTTGGTTTATCCCTTCACTTTATTTCTGCCCATTTCATTCCTCACCATTTTTTCTTCCTAAACCCCATTCTATTCTATCTTCATAAATCAAAATACCAAAAAAATAACTCTTTCCCGCACTCCATATTTCACCCCTTCAATTCCATCATCCATTTCCTTCCGCAAATCCGCAACAAAATAGCTACTCGATAAGACCCCGGGTCTCGGGTACAACACCACATGACCCTCTTCGCGCTGCACCCAACAGTCATCAGGGTTAGATGTGGTTACCTCAAAGATCCAGCATGCCTTCTTCACTGGTTTTTGCTTATTGTTGTCATGAGGACGGCTATCATGTTCCTGTCTTCTAGCACAAAGTGCACAACAACTCAGAAAGTTGTGTCTAAACTTTTTGCAGTGAAAGCAAAAGTGTGGGAGACGTTCATACTTCATACACAACCTTCAGGGTGTAATTCCCTCCATGCAAATTGACTTTGAAAGATGTGAGTAGTTCCTTTGACATGTCAACAAAGACAAGCATCCGGCAGTAGCTGACCCTCCCTCTTTCCTTAGTCATATGGTCTGTTCGTATGGGGGTTCCCACCCTAGACCCCAAACAATCAAATGCCACACGACTCCAAAGTCTCAAAGGAACATCAATAAATTTCAACCAAACTTGGACCTTCATAGAGGCATCAAAATCAAAGAAAAAATCTTCCAGGAAAAGACGAAGGAGAAGTGTCTTACCATAGAGCGTGTAAGGCCCCTTGTTTAGAACTTACCTACGGTCTTCATTACGATTGAACTGGAAAATCACCTAGGCCTTGTCGTGTGGAAGGAGCTTGCATTCAACTTGCTATGAGGACATTAGCCCTTCAATGGCTTTGATGTCAGGGAACCGGCCAGGAGTCCAATAAAGCATCCGACGATGCAAAAGCCCCAATCAGTTTCAATGGGTAGAATGCCCTCAACTAGGATAACAACCTATTCTCCAACTTCTTTCTTGTACACTATGCTCCATGTGCTTTGGGTGTTTGCTGTACTACATGTGTTACTCGAGCAGGGGTCCCCTAGATAGGCTCTCTACTTTCAAGAAGAGGTAAGGTTTGCGTACACACAACCTCCCTAGACCCTACTCTTGTGGGATCCAACTGGGTTGGTGTATGCTCCTTGTGCTTGTGAAGAGTCTCTACATAGGAGTCTACATGTAGACACCTACACTTATAATAAGTTGCAAAAGAAAAATGAAAGGCTCACACAAGAATTGGAGAGAAATGGCTCTCATACCAAATGTTACAATCATAGTTAGGATATGGAAAATGAAATAATTTAATCATTGACACTCTAGAGACTCATCATTGTTTTGACAAATGTATCCTCTTATTAACGAAGTTCGACCCCCTATCTATACTACCCATAATATTGGTAAGGTTTTGTTCTCTTGGGTTGTAACTTCCAACTACGAATTGAAAATTATATATGTGCATTTTTATATTACCATTATTAATATCTATGTTAAGAAAATAATAAAGCAATTGATCTAATGACACAATTTATACAAGAAAATGTTCCCTTTGTCCCCAAAACAAAATTCTAGTGACAATAACTCATCTTTGAGATCGACGATTGAGCAAACATTTGGAGTTTTGAAGAAAGGTTACAGATTAGTGCACTAAAGGATGCCTCAAATGAAACTAGAATAACAAATCCAAATTGTTATTCCAACATGTACTTTGCAAAATTTTGTTTGCCTTATCGAAATAGGATACAAATATCACCAAGGTGGGAGCAAAGCTCAAGGTGATGTTGTTCGATGAGCAAACTAGACATGCAATGTAGAAATTTGGGGTGAAGTAGCTTATAATATTTTGCAATTAGTTGAGTGTGATTGATAAATGGTGCGTAACTTTGACAATGTGTAATGTTAAAAAATAATCACGTTAATTATTTTTCTATGAGCATTGTTCTATTTGTTATAGACAATAAAAATTAGAATCAGTAAAATAGAGTATTACGGAGTACATTTCTTAAAATTTTTAAGAGTAAATTCCATAATTGGTCCTTTATAACAGAGGGGTTTCCCTATTTAGTCCTCTATTATCAAATATTACCCTAGTAGTCCTTCTTTTATGGGTATCTTTCCACAAATAGTTTTTTTTATCTTCTATCATGTTGGAGTTAATTTGAGGGCTAAAAGTGTAATTTTACAATGTGAATTACATTCGCTTTCTACTACAATTCCAAAGGTTGTTCCGTTTGCGTTGTTTGTGAATTACATTTGCTTTCTACTACAACCATAGTCTACAAACGTGGTCTTCCGTCGGAATCCTAGCCCACAATCATAGTCATTATATTTGTGTTATCCGCTTAACCAATATCAGAACACCTCACTAGACATAATGTTGATGTCAAATTATACTTTTAGGCTTTAAATTAACACTCCCATAGCGGAAGATCAAAAAAAAGACCATTTGTGGAAAGGCACCCTTAAAAAAAGGACTACGAGGATAATATTTGATAATAGAGGACTAAATATGGAAACCCCCTTGTTATAAAGGACCAATTATGGAATTTCCTCAATTTTTAATTTTCAGTTAATAATTTAACATTAATAAAAAAATAGTCCTCCCTTGGTCCCACAGTCCCGCTATTATTAGGACATGAGTTAGTGTCATGCAAATTAAGAAACATAGAATTGTGTAATTAATACTAATGTTAAAAAGTACAAAAAATATAAAGGAGACAAAACGTGAAACAAATGAAGTATTGAAAAATATTTATTTAACTCGTTCCACGTCCTTATTACTCTTTCTAGTTTCGTCCAACTCCCAATTTCCAACATTCAGCTTTGTGTATCCAATACAAAAGCACATGGCCTAAATGAATAGAGTCCTAACCTATTACAATATATTCTTATAAAAATGTTAACTAAAATAGAATATCCGCACAGAGGCAAGACACTATTACTAATAAAATAATAATAATTATAAAGTAATGATAGTAATAGTAATAGTAATAATAGAAACATAATAATACTAACATTACTACCTACGACTTTTAGGCTAACCCTATTTAATCCTACTCTCAACACTATTAATGATTTTACCACTTGCCACTAGGGAAAACATCTCCATGCTCTTTTAGCCTCCCACTAGAACTCCATGTGAATTGGCTTACATGCGGTATCTTTTTTAGAGATGATTTTCTACAATGACAGACATGGTGCAGTAGCAGCATCACCGTATTAACTCTCTATCAATGTGATTCATTGTACCACTAATGGGGAAAAATGTGTCCCCTATTAGGAAGTTGTACTCATTTTGCCACAAAACATGAATCTGTGAAAATGTTAAGAATACTTCACCTTTGTATTACCAGCGGTACTAACTTCAGTATGGTTTGATGTTGTGGAGTCCGATCCAGATGATGCCAAAGATGAATACATAGACTTTGCTGGTATGTTGTGATTCGGAAGGTTTAGCGGAGGACAATGCAATCTTTTTGCAGCTTCATCAACTGCTTCATGAGCACTGCTAAGCATGTCTAACTGCTGCTTGAAACCTGTATTAAGGATACGAATTTCAGAACCCCAAGTGTACCAACTTCAGTGCTTGACAGCTCTAGCTATAATAACAACAGGGGAGATATCCATACCACCTTCGCCATCAATCAAACCTATGCTCAACTCTTTTGATGGAACTTCATCGATTTGCTTGTCCTCGTCAATCAGCATGGCAAGATTATCCTTCCCATGTATTTGGCTTTCAACAGTCCTTAAATCGTCAAAGACATGCCCTTTATTATTTCCATTCTTCCTGGAAGAGTCCAACAATGGAAAAATAAGAAAGATGCATTTTATGGAAACCAATCGTGACCCATAACTTAATTTCCAAATGTTCAGTATTCTATCGTCTTGAGCATTGTGATATATTTGATGAATGGAATGGTGGAAATCATGGAATCACACCGTGAGCCATGGATTAGCAATGACATGGAACTGAACTGTAGTTAATAATCAGAGCACATTGTGTCTACAAGTTTTAATGTAGTTTTCAGAAAAGTTTAAAGCCTGTAAAATATTTAATATATCCAATGGATATTTATGGAAATTCGCCCATTCCCTGGTCCTTACTATCCAAGTTGGATATTTAAGGAGATTTATTCGTTCCTAGGTCCTCACTATCTGATCCCGGTTGGATACTTAGAGATTCTCTTTGTATTACAATTTTTGAGTTGATGTTTTTAAAGAAATCGTAGTCAGCATATGGCTTTAAATTTTAATGGTGCAAAATTATTGAAACGCTAGCATATGGGAATATAAGCATGATGGTTCAGTGACAATCAGACTTTGTGCATGCAAAAAACAAGAAAATATGAGTTACGACCATCAAATGATTTCTCAGTTGAACAAAAGGTTCATATGTAATGATGCAGAGCACTACAGAAACAAAGAAAGAAAAAAGTAAATAAATTGGCTGCAGATCACATTTATTTATTTTAACTCCATCCATCCCAAACTAAAAGTCCAATTTGACTGGACATAGAGTCTAGAAGTGTTGAAAAGTGAAAAGTGTGTGGTTGGAATTGAGTAGAAATAGAGAGATAATGATAGCCGCATATTCCTTACCAAGAAAAGGAATGGGACTTTATAGGGATATTTTTTTGCAACAGATCAAATTTTATTCTTAGAGAAAAATGTTGAAAAGACATGTTATATACAGAGTATTCTCGTGGCAGATGCAAATTATGTTTTACAATTTTGTATGTTGTATGAAGTCGTGACAGAAGCAAATTATGTTCTTCAAATTTGTATGATCTTGGTATAGTCATTCTGAAAAGCCCACTCCATTAAACTTACTCTCCTCAACACCAGCTTTCCCGACAAAATAAAGAAAGATAACAAAGTTAGAACAATATTTTTAACAATTCAAATCCTGGCCCAAGCATGTTTCCATGTAAAATTCAAAAGTACAGCATTCCCTTTTGCAACTCACTCAATGACAGTAACATGTTGACTCTCATCACAGAAACACAAGTTGCTCGATGATCCTTTATCACTGCACTGCACTACATTTGTCACCTACAAATGATTATAAGATAGTGACTATAAATAGACATAATGTTTACATCAGACAATTAAGTAGTTGTAAATAGCTTAAAGCATCAGCTTATTACAAGAAACTAAACCATACAACCTAACATTCATCCTTCGCCAGTTAGTCAGAGTGTCTGGACAATCAGATATATTAGCAACATCAATTTAATACATTTATAACAAATACTACGCATAGTATTGTAAACTAGTGTGAAAAAATAGTGACCAATGAAGTAATATAAATTCAGGAGCATACTTTAAATTGGGTGAGCCACATATCACGTCATTTTTTTAAAAATCAGGTTTGCTAGTCAATGAAGGCATTTTTGTGTTTCCAACGAACAAGCTCCCTTTGTACGCAATCTAAGGTGAACAATCAGTTTGCTGATCTCCAAAAGCAAATGTGTGATCCAATAGTTTAAAACAGAATGGACGGAAACCTTCATGAAGAAAAGATATGGCCTAAGGCCAGGTTTTAAGCAGTGCGGAGTCATACGTTCTCATGATAATTACCTAGGATGTTTGTCCTTCAAATTTGAGTTCTCAGAACTCATGTACAACTTGTTTCAAATTTTATGACATTATTGTAAAGTTAATGATCTAAAGTACCTTAAGGACTTATGGTACTTAAGATCATTTACTTTACAATAATGTCATAAAGTACCAAAAAGACTATCAAGAGACCAACTTGAGGAAGATGATGACAGCAGCCTATGCTACCTGTTGCTATGCAGCAGGAATAAGAAGCTTCATGATGGGGTTGAGATTGATATTGCAGGCTGCAGTGGATGGATCAGATGGCCATTCGATTCTTTTATAAGATGTCATTCTTAGTAGTATAGTCTTATATTTGTGCCTTTTTCTATCGGTTTGGTTGTATTTCTGTAGAGGATTGTAAAACTATGTTTTGGTTATCAATCTATTTGCTTTCAGTTCAAAAAAAGAGACCGATTTGACTATTTAGGTCCACAAAAGGTTTTATCTCTAACGCATCCTTGCATGTGAATGTCATTCAAGTCGCAAAAGTTCGTCCATACCTTGCACAAAAATCAAGGTGGAGCTTCAAAAAATTTAATTCATAAACTCCAGTTTAACAAGGCTCTAATGCCAAATCAAGGACGAACTCTGCCAAAAGTGTAAACTGATGATTCCAGCCCAAGAAAGATGTGATATTCTAACAAAAACAATGTCTAGGCTTGCTTTATTTCTTCATACTATTTTTGCCTTACCCATTTTGTTTGATTCACCGTTTAGACCAAATCCCTCAAATGTAGGGATTGGTTCATGACTACGTAGAATGTATTATTAGTTTCCTATATAGAGGAAGCATGGAACCAAAGTATAAATTAGAAGTGATGTGTACATTTCCAAATATTGGTAAGTTTGAAATAGACTCCCTTCTCAACATAAGTCTAGTTTGTCAAGCAAAAAAGGAAGGTAGAAGCAGGTTATGTACTCATTTAATTGGCCATCACTACCAAAAGGCCGATTGAATACTAAAAGCATTCAATTTTAAAACCTTTAAGCGCGTGTCATGGTAAAACCAATGTTGGTTACCTAAGAAACCTGGTGCAGGTCATCCCATACATTGACTGCCTGCCTTTGTTTACTGTCAATGTTAACATGCAAATGTATCTCAATTTGTCTTGGTTCTGGCCTACAACCTTCATTTCGCCCCTAACGAGTAAAATCATGGTGTCACGGATCAACTATGTTTGTTCCCTAGCTATTGGTCATTTGGAAATATTATATTTTGGTTCCATTTCAATTTGTATCAGACACTTAAGGAGAAGTCGGGTTAGGCTGAAAATGACTTGGACTGAAGGTGTAAAGAGGGACATCAAAGATAATCACAGTTTGATTAACATATGGTGCATGACAGAAAGAGGGTATCTGTGAATAAATTTTATTTTTAAATTTAACACCAATATTTAAATAAATAAATTTAAAAAACTTAAGTCAAGCATCGTTTAGGGTGTGTCTGGTTACTTTGGAGACGGAGGGAATACTTTTAAATGTTGAAGCAACATTGAAACCAATTGAATTGAAAATAATTACGATCAAACATCATAAAACACAACATCAACTTCTTTTGGGGACAAAGAGAGTATCTTTTTTTCTGAACTCCAAGAAACAATTTTCATCCATTAGAAAGAACGGGATCAATATCAATCATGCAATTCTTTCCTTGACAAGTTGTGAGATAGACCAAAAAGGTAATTGGAAGATTACCAGGGGGCAAAGTGAGTATGTGCTTTTAGCATAATAAACGCCAAGGGCATCAAAGAGAACCAGCACATAAAATTTGAAAAGAGACGAGAAATACAATTTATGCAGTCTAGAAGATTGCGACTTAACTTAATAGTGACACTATTACAAACCTCACTACGGCTTGATGCAGATCCAGAATCCAACTCGGTCTGTGCAGAAGAACTTCTCAACGGTTGCCTAGACAAACTGTAATTGGGCAAGTTGAGCCGGGCCCTTGGTCCGTACATTGCAATTGCAGCTTCATCATATGCAAGAGCAGCTTCGAGTGCATTGGTAAATGTCCCCAACCAAATGCGACTGCCTCGATTTGGTTCCCTAATTTCAGAAACCCATTTACCCCATGTCCTCTGCCTCACACCCCTATAGTTTACACGATGATTTTCAGGTCCGCCTTTACCCTTCATACATCCCTTCTTTGATCCTTTTGCAGCAATTTTTGTTACTGATTTTTTTCCATCAGCCAAGGAGTCCATTTTGGCATTGTGTTCTTTCCACTTGGCAAGAATCTCTGCTACACTTTTTGATACATCTGCTTTCTTCTTAGACCTATTAATTTCAGAACAACTCATGGACAGGGATGCGCCATTAGATACTTGATTGCAGCCCTCCATTATTGTATTTCTTGAAAAAAGATAAATGAAATGAAAACATAATTAAAATACAAACAAATAACTACAGGAAAAAACACTCTTTTTAGCATAATTGTATTAAACTGTTAATCGGTCAAGAACATCAACGCAAATCTTGCACATGGGAAACTCCGAAAGTACTTTAGTCTACCAAACCTCCAAAGAAATTGGTTCATGACCATTAGCTTAGGTCACCAATGTGATCCTTCCTACACTTGGAGGTGATAAATTCATACCCTCATCCCCTCCACTACACCCATTAAGCTTAGTCAACGGTGGCTCTCTTTTACAACTACTTCACAAATACAAAAGGTGGGAAAAGCTTATCTACAAAGTTATTGGCCATAAAATACTCCTAGAAACTAAGAGCAGCTCAATCTAGGCAGACCAATCAAAAACACAGTGAAGTGTAAACATACAACATATATGCCTCCATTTCCATTAAACTAACAGTTAGGATATCATAAATTTACCTCATCGCTAATATTTACTCAGCTCAAAAACAAAAATCCTAGCTGAGTCCAACAAAATGGATTTCATGGTGGTTTCTTAGAAAATAGCACACTATAACAAGCCAGTAATTGATATAAACAAGTAAACAAGTCAAATCTCCATAGAGCAAGAGGTGAAACGGTGTAAAAACACCATAAATTAACAACAAAAATGAACATAATTTGGAAATAAAATATAATACTCCGTGATATTTATGAAAACTCAATAGAAAAATGAATTCAAAAAAATCATCTCACTCCTCATTAGTATGAGCCGACGACATGCGCGAATTTTCACTAGGAGAATTTCAAATTTAAGGAAAACCCGGTCCTTCGCCGCCCTAATTTTGCTTTTAACGTTCAGAGCTCTGTGGCGGTGATTTGGTGTAGCGTGAGTCGGCTGGAGAAAGCAGCTTGTTCATTTGCAAATAAATACTCGTGTGAAAACTCCCCTCTAAATAATTCACCGGGCTAGATATTGTATTTCAATCTCATTCCATTACATTGATCCAATTAGAATAAAATAAAGTAAACTTGAAGTAAATATAGAAAACTAGCTTCTCATACATTGATCCAATACTCACCCACTATCTGATTGTGTCTCTGAGAAAGTTGATATATATTTGAACTACACCAACTTAGGATACTCTTAACAAATCCTCAAAAATTTTAGAATAGAAAATTCAAATTTTTATTTTTAAAATAAAAGTTATAATGTCAATAATATTAAATTACAAATAAAAAAATATTGTGGGATGTTCATTCAAAAAAATATTGTGAGATGTCAAAATGTATTATTAATTTGTCACGGTGCAAACTCGGATTTTGGAATAAAAATATGTTACCCTTATTTTAGAAATAAGGGTTATATTGTACTCTCGTTTTAGATTATTTTTTATTGGGATAGTTACGATACTCGATTCGTAATATTTATTTAGAGGGGAGTTTATCCACAAGTAAAATGTGAACTTTCTCACACTTTTCATGAGTTGTCAAGAGAATCTTTTCTCTTTCTTTTTTGCCAAAGGCTCAACTCTTTTATGATATCGATGTACTAATATTCATAACACGAGCATGGACCTTAGAAGCACGGAGAAATTTGCCTTGGAAAACTCTTCACCTCGTTCTGACCCGAACCCACCCAATATGCCTTTAATTACACTCTAAATTTAGTTGACTTTTGGGTTAAAATATTTTACCATAAAGTTAATTAAACTTGGGTGGTGTAATTGAAAATTTGGAGAGTGAGTTCGAGTCATGACGAAGTGGGAATGAACCATTGATTAGAAGTAGAAATCATCAATTTTACAAATCGAACACCATAGATACCTCAATTGGAGCCAATGTCATCTCATGACATTGAAGTTCAATGCCTTGGAAACCTTCCTTACACAATTAAATAGAAGAATGATAATTTTACACAAAAAGATTGGTGTAAGATCATTACAGCAATTCAATAAAGATATCTAAGAGCATGTCCAATGCAAATCTCATTTCATCTATCTTTTCTTAGTTGGCATTCAAGTGGGACTAATATTTGGTCTCATGACATTGGATGAAACAAAAAAGGAAAATACTAGGGGTACACCTTTTTTGGTGTACCCTATTTGTCCCTCACCCCCTCCATAACCACTCAAATAGGCAAGAAAATTTAAAAAATAAGTAAATAAAAATTAAATATAAATGAGTGATTATGGAAGGGGTGGGAGACAAAAGTGTACCCCTAGCCTCCCTCAACAAAAAAATGGGACGCGTTCTTCTAAGTTAGGACCTAGGTTTTTCCAAAAAATACGTATAACACTTTGGAGTACACCTAGATTTTTCCAAAAATTAATGAATGTTGGATGAGTTTGTATTATAGTGATTGAACTAGTGAGGAGGATGTCACTTGCCAAAATTAGTCAAAATTAGTAAATTTTGACAACAAATTAAATAAAAATGTTATTAAATATTGGTAAATAAATTCGTTAGATTTATTTTATAAAATAATTTCAAAAAAATCATTTTATCTAATTAATATTACATATATATTTTATTTAATTATAGGTCAAATGTTAAAAATGATTTTTGTCAAAAGTTAAAATTAGACAAATACTCAAGTGTGGATGTGGTAAGTGGTAACATAACTAATCATATGTGTGTAGTTCACATTTAATTTTAGAAAAAAATATTTAGAACAATCTCAACTATACATGTTCTTTCATAAATAAATTCATTTTTCACCATTATGCATAATAATTATCTCAAGTTCACTGAAATTTGTGAGTTCCGGGTCGTCGTTAAGTTACTAACAACTAGTTAACAAGGTTTATTTTGCGCAACAAAATGAAAGTTGAGATTATTTTTTATGAATTTTCTTTTTTATTTATTTATTTTTGAAATTTCTCTTAAATTTTTTATATGAGTTTCTACTTCCATCAATTATTTTTTAAAAAAGATTAGTCTTACATCAGAAAAAATAGATATAAAAAATAACGAAAATGAAAAAAACTAAAATCATACAAAATTAATGAAATAAAAATATAATCAATAGAAATAACCTCAAACTGATAAGAAATAAAACTAAAGATATATGAAGTGGTGGGTTTTAACATTTTAGGTATTATATGAAATATTAATGTATTTCTTTCATCAGAGATAAAAAATGAAAATAAAAATAAAACCAAGAAAAAAATATTCTTATTACACAACCCTAAAAATGGAAATACAAATAAAATAAGGAGTATAAGAAATAAAAAATTAGGTTCTTCAACTAATTTCATTTTAGTTATTTCTTATTAAAAAAATAATTGTTTTATTCCTTTATGGGTTTAATAAAAAAATATTTTTTTTAATTTCTTATTTTTTTATTTTCATATTTGACTGAAGGATTAAGTAATACATTCATACTTCGTAGTGGGTAAGATGTTAGAACCCATCGCCCTGTATTTTGTTGTTTCTTAGCACTTTGAGGTTAGTTTTTATTGATTACCTTATACGAAGTATATTTTTATTAATTTTGTATGGTTTTTTTAGATGTTTTTCTTATTTTTGTTATTTTTTATATCTATTTTTACAAGGAAAGACTAATCTTTAAGAAAAGAAAAAGAAATGATAGAGAAGAAAGTCATTTTAAAAATTTAAGGAAAAATTCCCAAACAAAATTCAATAAAAAATAATCTCAACTTTCATTTGTTGCACAAAGCAATTCATTTATGTGAATCACTCGTTGAGTTTAATTGAGATTATTATGCATTACAGTGAAAGATGAAATTATTTTTGAAAGACCGTGTGTAAAGTTGGGATTGTCCTGAATAAATTTTCCTCAATTTTATTATTTCTTACTTTCTCACATACATATTAATCATACAATCTTACTTTTCTGAATTTTTGTGTAACTTCTCATGTCTCAAAAACAATGGGTCTAAAAGACTGCGTTTTATTTAGAACAAATTTTGGAAGAATTCTTTAAGAGGAAAAAACACTTGTATATATTTCTGTATCTCAATATACATGGATGAGTTACATATATAGTGTAGAATCTTAGGTAATAAAGGAAACTAAATCATCTCTATACAAGGAAACTACTAAAATAATATATACGAAAATATTTCCAAATCTTCTCAACTTGGGTATAAGAAACTCCAGTCGTGACTTCTCAAGTGCTTTCGTGTGAATATCCGCAAGCTGGTGCATAGTAGGAACATGATAGGCGTGTCGTAGCACCTACAAATTAATTTATTATTTTCCTTAACTCTTAACTCCCTTTATGCATTAATATTGATTAAAACATATAGATAGGGCAAGTAAGGGTCGATCCCACGAGGAAAGATACTTTTTAAGCTATGAAAATCAATTTACTTTGCCACTTTTATTGACTAAAAACTAACTAAAACTAAATAACTAAATCTAAAAGATATGGGGGGTTTGAATGACGATTCTAAAAAGATAAAAATGCAAATAAAATAAAGATAAAGGATAACTGATAAGAGATAAGAGCCAGAACCACAACAACTCGAACTCAGAAGAACACTCAAGGAGAAAACAAACACACAAAAACAATCACACCATAAACTTTATAAAAACGTAGACAGTAATAATTAACTTAAACCATTTTGAAAATACTTATAGTTTTTAATAAAAATAAACTGAACAAATCTGATTCACTAATTTATCATGTCTTGATTCTGAAATTAAACTGCTAATTAAACTCAGGGTTAGGCTGAAGAAGAGGTCCACCAACGGTTCTTCCCTATTTTCCCATTCATATTAGCTCATGTTAAGACCAACCCTAACTCTAAACTCTACTATCCTTAGCAACCCAAAGACCAACCCTTAAGTTTCTACTAAGAATAGCGCAATAAAATCTTTGGAAAACATCACCATAACAATCTTGCAGTAACACTACGGTTATTTAACAAAATCAGTTCGAGAACCTTGATTAGCAAAAACCACTTAACGAGGCAGCAAGCACTAATCAAGTGACACTTGGTTTCTAGAAAAGTTCGGCTATTTAAAGCACTTTGGACTTTAAAAGAATATCAACTTAAACTGGATTAGGCGCGCGTTCCTAATTTGGTCCAATTTAAGTAAAATCTGGTGAAAATAGTTCTCGAGAAGCCAGGCGGCAACCTCATATACACCTCATTGTGAAGATCTCCATGTAGGAATGCATTGTGAACATCCATCTGGTGTAATTCCCACCCTTTGACCGCCGCAACTGCCAAAAGTGTTCACACAGTAGTCAACTTGACTACAGGAGCAAATGTTTCTTTGTAATCGATGCCTTCAATTTGATGATTGCCAAGTATAACAAGCCTAGCCTTGTATCTTTCCACCCTACCATCAGATTTGCGCTTGATTTTATACACCCATTTGCATCCAAGAGCCTTTTTATGACGCGGAGGAGAAACAAGAGACCACGTCTCATTAGCGTCCAAAGCATCAATTTCTTCTCGCATTGCTTTCCTCCATCGCTCATCCTGGAATGCTTGTTTGAAGTTCCTGGGCTCGATGTCTTTATCAAGTGCCATGAGAAAACACTTATGTTTCTCAGAAAACTTCTCATAAGTAACATAGGAGGAGAGCGGATATTTGCACTTTCCCTTAGTAAGTGGTCCGGCTACATGTGTGACATAGTCCGCAAGCTTCACATTTGGCCTCCTTTCCCATTGACCGCGCCCCAAGGTCTCTGTTTCTTGCTGGGATGAGGACGATCGACCGCCATCCATGGAACGTTCCACGGGGTCAACCGTCTGGGATGGTTCCTCACTGCCTCCTTTCTGCCTTGGGGACGGTCGATCGTTGCTCTCATCACGGTCGACCATTTCTTCATCTCCCTGGAGTCTGACTTTCTACCCCTCGAACGGTCCACCGTGTCTCTCAGAACGGTCCACCGAGTCGACCGTTGGTTGATCTCCCAGGATTCCATTTTTCTGCCTCGATGACGGTCGACCGTGAACATCAGAACGGTCCACCAAATCGACCTCCGGTAGCTCAGCTGCTTTTTCGCCTTCTTCCGGTTGACCGTTCCTCCGTGGACGGTCCTGCTGCTCCTCCGCCAGCACTTCATCATCATCATCATCATAGTGATCACCTGGAGTGGGTCTGCTTGATCCATCGTCATCTAATGTTTCACCTGGAGTCATCAAATAAGGAAATATGTTTTCACAAAACACAACATCCCGTGATACGCTTATTTTCCCAGTGTCTGGAAAATATACACGCCATCCCCTCTTTCCTTGTGGATAACCCAAAAATATTCCAGGAATACTTCTGGGCGCAAATTTATCCCCATCTCTCTTCAAATTATGAACGTAACATCTGCAACCAAAAATGCGAATATGAGTTAGTGCAGGGGCCCTTCCATAAAGTTTTTCGTACGGCGTAACCCCCCTAGAAGAGACGAGGGTGTTCGATTGATTAAGTATGCCGACGTTTGTATGCATTCTCCCCAAAAATTGATCGGAAGCCCTGCCTGAAATCTCAAAGCACGACCCACATTTAAGATATGTCGATGTTTACGTTCAACTCTACCATTTTGTTGTGGTGTAGACACACAAGATGTCTCACGAATAATTCTTTTTTCCAGAAAATATTCTGTCAAACATTCAAATTCTGTACCATTATCACTTCGAACACACTATCCTCTTCCCAAACTGACATTCAACCATGGCACAAAATTGCTTAAAAACACCTTCTACGGTACGCTTAGAATCAAGCAAATATACCCACACACCACGTGAAAAATCATCTACGATAGTCAAAAACATTGTAGAACCATCCAAACTTGGTGTCCGATAAGGACCCCACAAATCACAATGCACCATATCAAATTTATCCATAGATTGATGAAAACTGATAGGAAAACTAGCACGAGTTTGTTTAGCACGCAAGCAGACATCACAATGACTATGACTATGTTTATTCAAACCAACTACAGGAACTAAGGACAAAACATGTGAAGAAGGATGTCCTAGACGTTTGTGCCAGAGGTCAAATGAATTCTTCTTGGCAGCACTGCACACCATGCTCCTCTCCTCCTTCTTCAAATAGTACAATCCTCCTTCAAGTCTACCCACACCAATCGTTGTCCTCAAACTTAGGTCCTGTAAGATGCACAAATTATTGGTAAACTTTTCTTCACAATTCAAATCTCTTGTCAACTGTGACACAGAAATCAAATGACAGTTCAAGGTTGGAACAAACAACACATTCTGCAAAGTCAAAGTCATAGTCAAGTCAACCTTTCCAGATTGAACACACACAACCCTTTTTCCATCGGGCAATCCAATTTCACACGGAGACACACCCACCACATCATATAATAATGAAAGACCACCTGTCATATGATTCAACGCACCAGTATCGATTATCCAACGAGGTGACACAGGAATACCTGGGAGTTTTGGTGAGTTGTCTGTAGGGGAGAGCGAGAGGGCATGACGAACCGCATTCCATTGATTTGGCGTCAAGTCCTCAAAATTTGGCAGCGGAGATGGTCCTTTTTCTTCTCCTTGGACAGCATGAGCTTCACCTCGTCCGCCCGTGACGGTCGACCATCCAGCCACCACAGTCGACCGTCCGCCACCCCGTGCAGTCCCACGACCTCTTCCTCGACCGTTTCCTCTTCCTTTTCCGGCCTGATCGCGGAATACCCAACCTTCGGGGTACCCAATCAGCTTGTAGCATGCCTCGACCTCATGTCCTGTTTTCCCACAGTGACTGCACACAAGTTCTTTGATCTCCAACTTATTCTTTACGGCAAACACAGAAGCACTTGCTTCATGGCTTTCTTCTTTGTGCATACCATTTCGTGCTGTCTCGTCTTGGACAAGAATATTGTATATTCTTGCCACCGGTGGTATGATCGCTTGGGCCAACAGATTTGACCTCAAAGCTCCATACAAAGCATCGTTTAAACCCATCAAAAATTGATGAGATCGTTCCCGCTCACGCATCTGCGTAAGTTTCTCTGGCAAATCACACGTGCAATTCTTACACGTACAAGTCGGAAAACTCTCTAAATCTGCTAGATCATCCCATAGCTTCTTCATCTTCCCATAATATTCCATTACAGAAAGATTCTTCTGTTTGCATTCCGCCAAGTCCCGCTTCAGCTGCTGAATCCTAGGCCCATTAACTACAGAGAAGCGGGCCTTCAGTTCATTCCACAGATCTGAGGCCTTCTCCATGAATGATATGCTCGATCTCAGGGTTGGATCAATTGTGTTCCGAATCCAAGAGACCAAAAGCGAATGGTTCGTCCACCAATCATCAAAATCTTCATCTTCAGGATCAGGCATCCCGATTGTCCCATCAACAAATCCAAAATTCTTGCGTGCTCGAAGAGCCAAGCGCAGAGATTTGGACCACTCATCATAATTATATCCCTTGAGAACAACATGGGTCAGAATCATACCCGGATTGTCACTCGGAGACAAATCATAAGGAGAGATACGACGACGTCGCACCCCGACCTCCTTCTCCTCTCGTTCTTCATTCTTCTTATTGGAAATTACCTTCATCGGTGTTTCTCCAGACATACCAGATGACAACGTTCGAAATTTGGATCAAGAACAACAGCGATTGAGGATACTGCCGTCGGGACGGTCGATGCCTTCGACCGTTATGCAAGCACGGTCGACCGTTCCGGTCTTCTTCAGCAGTAGCAACAGCCAACGATCGATGGACGCGATGCCGGGCGATCGTGAACAGTAACTACGGAAATTCCTAGAGTTTAGGCCCTGATACCATGAAAGAATTGTTTAAGAGGAAAAAACACTTGTATATATTTCTATATCTCAATATACATGGATGAGTTACATATATAGTGTAGAATCCTAGGTAATAAAGGAAACTAAATCATCTCTATACAAGGAAACTACTAAAATAATATATACGAAAATATTTCCAAATCTTCTCAATCTTCTCTTTCCTTTTACAAATTTCATAATTGTTCCTCTATAACAAGGAGATTTTCATATTTAGTCATTTATTATCAAATATTACTCATGTAGTCCTTCTTTTGTGGATGTTTTTCCACAAATAGTCATTTTTTATCTTCTATCATTTTGATGTTAATTTAAAGGCTAAAAGTATAATTTGACATCAACCTTATGTCCAGTGACTTATTCTGATATTGGTTAGACGGATAACATAAAAATAATGAATATGGTTATGGACTATGATTTCGACGAAAGACCACATTTGTAGACTAGGGTTAAAGTAGAAAGCGATTCTAATTTACAAAAGACGGATCAAGAGCGGCCTATGGAATTGTGTATGACAAGAAAGATATATTATATATCATTGTGAAATTACACTTTTAGCCTTCAAATTAACACCTACATGATAGAAGATAAAAAAAGACTATTTGTGGAAAGATGCACATAAAAGGACCACCACGGTAATATTTAATAATAGAGGACTAAATAGGAAAATCTCCTATTATAAAGAACCAATTATGAAATTTATTTTTTTATTTATTAAAAGAATGTTAAATTTTGTTATATAGCCTCTTAAAATGGATAGAAGTCAAAGAAGTACTCAGGTTGCAAATACTTTTCAAATAGACCTCAATATGTCATAGTTTTGTTGGAGGCCAGTGGAGAGCTTGAAATGTTCCAAAGCTTCCATTATGCAGCCTATATTCTTCCCCTATGCCTTGCACACCACTAATTAAGAGGTCATCTGCAAAAGAGAGGTTAAGAATTTCTAATGTTTTGCACATGGGAATGAAATCTGAACCTTTTGTCCTTGGCATATTCCCCCAAAACATAAATATCTTGATTGGCGTCGTTGGGATTTTTGGCATTTTAATAGGCGTTAAATGAACGAACTTTGGGCATAACTACTAATGAGGTCCACTCTCGGTTTTGACCGTTAATTAATGATCGCGAGTTCTCTTAACTCTTAAGTGTGATAAATATTTTCGTATATTATACGCCAAAAATGATAAAAGGGCGAATGACACAGAGACATTGATAGATGTAGTACACTTTTGGAAACG